AGTGTTTTGATGCTGATTCTTTCTTATCTTTGTGTGCTTATGTACCTTTGATCTTTGAAGTTGCTGACCTTTGGATGAGGTTGTGGGGGTTTCTTTTGTTTTTCTTTTAACAGTCTAGCCACTTTTCCATAAAGCTGCTGGGGTTTGCCGAGGGTCCACTCCAGACCCTAGTCACCTTGGATTTTCCAGTACCTGGAGGTATCGCCAGTGAAGGCTGTGAAACAGCAAAGATGACTCCCTGGGAGCTCCGTCCTTCCCCTGGGAGCTCTGTCCCAGGGAGGTATGAACCTGTTGCTGGCCTAAATGCACCTGTAGGAGGTGGCTGAAGACCCCATTTTGGAGATCTCACCCAGCCAGGAGGAACAGGATTGGGGAGCGACTGAAGGAAGCAATCTAGCCACACTTTTATAGAGCAGTTGTGCTGTGCTGGGGCACCACTTCCATCCTCAGTTGGCTTGGGATTTCCAAAGCCTGGACACTGGTATGGGCTGATTTGCCAAAACAGCAAAGATGGCAGCCTGCCCCTTCCCCTAGGAGCTCTGTCCCAAGAAGCTTTCAAATCTCTGTCTGCCAGAGAATCTCCACAGGAGTGACTGGAGGCCGCAGTTGGGAGGTCCTGCCCAGTGAGAAGGAATGGATCAGGAACCCTCTTACAGAAGCAGTGTGGCCACATTTTGGTAAAGCAGCTGTGCTATGTTGGGAGATCCCGTCAACCCCCAGTTGGTTTGGGCTCTCCAAAGCCAGAAGGCTGGAATGGTTGAGATCCCCAAATAGCAAAGGTGGCAGCCCGCCCCACCCTGCAGGCACCCCATCCCAGGGAGAGATCAGAACTTTATGGGCTGTAGAATACGGGCGGGGGTGGCTGGAGGCCTTGTTTAGGAAGACGCACCCAGTGAGGAGGAATGGACAGGAGTGCTGCTTAAAGAAGCAATCTGGCACATTTTGGCAGAGCAGCCATGCTGTGCTAGGACATCCTTTCCACACCTGGTGGGTTTGGATTCCCCAAAGCCTGCAGGCTGGAACAGCTGAGTCATCCAAATGGCAAAGGTAATGCCCCTCGCACCCACCCCACCCACCCCCAGAGCTCCACCTTGTCTCAGGTAGGTGCTACACCGTTGCCTGTGGCTGGCTGGAATTCCAAGCCAGTTGATCTTATCTGGTGAGGTGCTGTGGAAGTGGAGCCTGCCGACCAATGCTGCTCAGCGCCCTGGATTCAGCTTCCTTCCTAGGGGTAGGTACAGACCTCCTGCCTTGCCTAAGTTGCAGCCATCTTTACAAAGGTCCTGGAGCCTAAGTATGTAAAGTTCCTGGGTCTCTGTGCATGCCTGAACAGCTGCTCTGCCAAGACTCCAAGGGAGCTCTGTGTATCACACCCAAGGCCCTGGTAGAGTGGGTTCACAAGTGGATCTCCTGATCCCAAGGTTGCAAAGATCAGTGGCAGAAGCATCATTCCCCAGGGTTTGCACATTCACTCACTGCTTCCCTGGTGCGGGGAGGGGAGGGGAGGAGGTTCCCTTGGGTCTGTGTTGCTCCTGTGTGGGCCATTGCCCTGCTCTGCTTTTCTCTGTCCTCTGTGGGTCGAGCTGATTTTTTAAATCAGTCCCAATGCAAGTATCTGGATGTTTCACATGAAGGTGCTATACATACTCACCCCTTTGTTCCTCTCTGAGAGAGCCATGCCCCATCCCTGCTTCTATTCTAGCTGGCCATCTTTGAAAATAAAATTAAGAAAACAATTTCATTTACAAGCACATCAAAAAGAATAAAATACTTAAGAATAAATTTAAGAAAGAAGTGAAAGCCTTGCAGCCTAAAAAGTACAAAGAAATTAAGAAAGACCTAAATAAATGAAAAAACATCCCATGTTGATGGACCAAAAGACTTTGTTAGAATGGCAATACTCCCTAAATTGATCTGCAGATTCAACGCAATCCCTATCAGATTCCCAGATGTTTTCATTGCAGAAATTGTTAAGCTGACCCCAAAATTCACATGGAAAAGAAAGAGAGAGACCTAGATTAGCCAAACAACCTTTAAAAAGACAGATAAAGTTGGAGCAGTCACACCTCCCAATTTCAAAATTTACTATAAAGCTACAATAATCACAACAGTGTGGTACTGTCATAGGACAGACATAGAGATTGATAAAATAGAATTGATCATCCAGAAATAAACCATTATATTTATGATCAATTGATTTCCAACAGAGGTGCTAAGACAATTCAATGGCAGAAAGAATAGTATTTTCAACAAATGATGCTGAGTAAACTAGATATCCAGATACAAAAGAATAAAGTTGGATCCCTCCTCACACCATATGCAAAAATTAGCTCAAAATGTTGGAGATAAAATTACAAAACTCTTAAAAGAAAATATAAGACTAAATCTTTGTAGACTTGAATTAGGCAATGGTTTCTTAGATATGGCACCAAAGACACAATTGACAAAAGAAAAATAAATCAATTGAACTTCCACATTTAAAACTTTGTGCTTCTTTTGCCAGATATTTGGGGGGGGAGGGGAACCTTTGTGCTTCAAAGGACACTATCAAGAAAGTAAAAAGATAAACCATAGAATGGGAGACAATATTTACAGCTATGTATCAGATAAGGGATTGTATCTAGAATATATTTTAAAAGTCTTAAAATTCAACAATTAAAAAATAAATAACCCAAAGGATTGGAATAGACATTTCTCAAAAAAATATATACATATTTGTATATTGCCAATAAGCACATGGAAAGATGCTCAACATCAGTAGTCATTAGGAAAGTGCATATCAAAACCACAATGAGGCCGGGCGTGGTAACTCATACCTGTAATCCCAACACTTTGGGAGGCCAAGGCAGGCAGATCACCTGAGGTCAGGGGTTTGAAACCAGCCTGGCCAGCATGGTCAAACCCCATCTCTACTAAAAATACAAAAATTAGCCAGACATGGTGTCATGCGCCTGTAGTCCCAGCTACTCTGGAGGCTGAGGCAGGAGAATCGCTTGAACCCAGGAGGTAGAGACTGCAGTAAGCCAAGATTGTGCCACTGCACTCCAGCCTGGGCAACAGAGCAAGACTCTGTCTCAAAAAAAGAAAAAAAAAACACACACACAGTGAGATACCACTTTATAGCCACTAGGATGGCTAGAATCAAAAGAATGGACAATAATTAAGTTATGTTGACAATGTGGAATCCTCACCATTGCCGATGGGAACATAAGAGAGTGCAGTCACTTTGAAAAACAGTTTGATACTTGTTCAAAATGTCAAATATATAATTGTCATATGACTCAATCACTTCTAGACATATATCCAAGAGAAATAAAGCATATGACCACACAAAAACTTGTACACAAATATCTATAGCAGCATCATTCATAATAGCTAAAAAGGGGAAACAGCCCAACTGTCTAACTGATGACAGATAAACAAAATGTTTCATGTCCATACAACGGAATATTATTCAGCCATAAAAAAGGAATGGGGAATGGATCCAGGCCACCACATGGGTAAACCTTGAAAACATAGTAACTGCAAGAAGCCAGATGTGAAGGTCACATAGTGAATACTTCTATTTATGTGAAATGTTCAGAATAGGAAGATCTATAGCGCCAGAAAGTAGATTTATGGTTGCCAGGGGCTTTTGATGACAGGAGTGGAAGGGAGGGGGGCGGTCACTGCTAGTGATTACAGGGTTCTTGAGTGGGAGTAAGAAAAACTTTTCAAAAATGTATTCTGGTGATGGTTGCATAACTCTGAATATACAAAAACCATTGAATTCTACACTTTAAAGCATAAATTTTATGGTATGTGGATTATAGCTCAATAAAGCTGTCATTAAGAAAGGGAAGGGGCCGGGTGCGGTGGTTCACGCCTGTAATCCCAGCGCTTTGGGAGGCCAAGGTGGGTGGATCACGAGGTCAAGAGATCGAGACCATCCTGGTCAACATGGTGAAACCCCGTCTCTACTAAAAGTACAAAAAATTAGCTGGGCATGGTGGCGCGTGCCTGTAATCCCAGTGACTCAGGAGGCTGAGGCAGGAGAATTGCCTGAACCCAGGAGGTGGAGGTTGTCGTGAGCCGAGATGGCGCCATTGCACTCCAGCCCGGGTAACAAGAGTGAAACTCCGTCTCAAAAAAAAAAAAAGAAAGAAAGAAAGGGAAGGGAAGGGAAGGGAGGAGAGGGGAGGAATGAGGGGAGGGGAGGGGAGAGGAGGGGAGAAAAAAGATACATCCTGGCCTATCTCTTCCCTTGTACCTGTCACTATGTGTCAGCACCTCCCATTGGCCTAACCTACCCAGAAGCCAGAGAAAAAGCCATTTGGGACTATATTCCATTGTGACACTGAGCAGAGCAAGGGAAGGATGGGGACACTTCTCTCACCCATCTCTGACTCCCCGACATCTAACCCCTGGCCTGGCATGTGATATTGATGCTATAAATATTTGTTAAATCAACAAATGGCCCCTCATCTAGGTTCTGCCAAGCGGCACAGGGGGCTTTTTGAATGTAAATGACCTGATGATTCAGGATCCTATGACCAGTGACTGTCATCCTCTGTCACCTTTCACTTGCCCCTTTTTTTTTTTTGAGTCGGAGTTTCACTCTTGTTACCCAGGCTGGAGTGCAATGGCACGATCTCGGCTCACTGCAACCTCCGCCTCCTGGGTTCAGGCAATTCTCCTGCCTCAGCCTCCTGAGTAGCTGGGATTATAGGCATGCAGCACCGTGCCCAGCTAATTTTTTATATTTTTAGTAGAGACAGGGTTTCACCATGTTGACCAGGATGGTCTCAATCTCTTGACTTTGTGATCCACTCGCCTCGGCCTCCCAAAGTGCTGGGATTACAGGCGTGAGCCACCGTGCCTGGCTCACTTGCCCCTTTACCTCTGAAGGCACTGAAGGTGCCCTGCATAAATCTTGGAGAGCTGAAGGGAGGAGCAAGAGTGGGAGGGGCAGGGAAGAGATTGGCTCACTGCACTGCTTAAAAGGGGCTCGAACCACTTCCTCCCCAGACAGAGGGAGCGAGGCCGGGCACAGCCTTCCTGTGTGGTTTTACCACCCAGAAAGCGTCATGGACCTGGGTGAGTGAGCCTTCTCATGTGAGAAGGAACAGTATCAGGGTCTTGGACACCCAGACTGACCCTGTGGAATGGGGGTGGAGGAGGTGGGTGGAGTGCATAGGGGTGCTTCCTGGAGAAATCAGATTTGATTTGGTGGGCACTAAAAGCTACTTCCAGAGAATGCTACCTGCTGTCCCAGGAGGGGTGCACCTGCCGTTTCAGACCTGGGGAAGTGGGCAGCCTTTGGTGCCAGGGAGGACAACAGAGGGGCCGAAATCATTTCTTTCTAAAATAGCAGGGACGTAAGAGAGAGGCGGGGCTGGGCTTGGTGGTCTGGGCAGAACCTGTTCTCATCATGAGGGTGATAGGTGAATCCCTCTGGGACCTCTGGAAACAGGTTTCAACAGAGAAATTCTCCCTAGAGAGCTTAGGACCTTCTGCTCACTCTCTGATTCCCACCTTTCTCCCCTGCTAAATAGGGATTTGTATCCCTGTCCACCTGGGGTCATGAGGAGATGCCAGTTAATGGTGACTGGGTAGTGAGAGCGGAACGCTGCCATGCAGGTGCACGCTGTGCTCGCTTTCTCTCTGCTACACATCCCACCGGCTTCGCTCTGGCTTTGCTGTTGCGTCTTGCAAGTTAAGGAGCAGGCGGGCACTATGGTGTGAAATGGCAAAGGGTACTCAACTTGGAAAGATCGCAGCCAGACCTTCAACACAGCTCCTGCCCCTGAGCAAACCTCACACACTCCACCCCTGCAGACAACTCTGCTCTTTAGAAAGCCCTTTCTCGAGTTTCACCTCCGTCTTGACTAGAAGGGGTCCAGGAGAAGCACCAAGGGTGTTCTGAGACGTTCATGCAGCTCCAGATACCCGCTTTATAAATCTCAGCTGTGGAGCCAGACGAGCCTGAGGCTAAGAAGGCCAGGTTTCTAGATGGCTTGTCTCGCCAGCAAGCAATGCACCACGGCGGCCTCAAAGCCGCAGGGGTTGGCTTTTAAAAAGTGAAGGTTCCCTGGTGCTGCCCTCACACCCCTCCCCGCCATACCACAGCCTCCTTGACTTCATCTCTTCCTTCCTCACCTGTCCTGAACCCTGGATCTGGACCCAGCAAACAGCTGTGAAAGGGTTAAAGCGGTCACTCCACCCACTGCCTGTGAACTCCTGAAAGACAGCTTCAGGTGCTTTGAGGGTGTGAGCAGAAAATGTTTGTGGAATGAATGAATCCATCATATCAAGAACTCAGTAGAGTTTAGTTTTTGAAAATGTCTTCCAAATGCCTCATTTCCCAGCCAACTTGCCCTTAAATCCCACTCCCCAGTGATCACAATCCCAGAGTGCAGATGTCATCCACAGAAGACCCTGCTCCAGCTTTTCATATTGGCCCCCAGGAAGGAAACCAAGCAGTGCCCAGTGGTGTGCTGCTGAGCATTTGAAAAGCAGCTCCCAGGGGCGGAGCATTGGTCGCTGCCTCCAGGCTGGAGGGAAGGTACTGAATTTGTAGTGCTTGCCAATTTCCATGGTGTAAATTCTCCCACCCTGGCTGATTGATTTCAAGCCATCCACATGACTGATCAGGGAGTTGGGAAGATGTGCACAGTGTCTTGCCCCTAGACTAGGTTTGGGGGTGCTAGACTCCTAGGCTTTGATGCAGGGAGGGAGGGTAATCTCCGGTCCAGGAGGAAGGGATGTTCTTGCTACTTCACTCAACTCAAGAGAGCCCCAACGGTCAAACCCGAAATACTGGTAGGAGAGGAAGCCGCTGAGAGCTTTGCTCAAAAGGGGGCTCTGGCGGTTGATGGGGTGGATGGGTCTGTTGTTCTGCTCTTCATCTGCCCAGCAGGGAGTAAGAGGTAGGTGAGGAGGCAGAGTTTCTGTTACACAAAATGAAAACTCCAAAGCAGGGCTGAGCTGGCCTTTTTCACGGTTTGAATGAGCAGCTCCGAGGCGCCCTCCCCACTTTCGAGCAATGCGACCAAACATCTTTCAGAATTATCAAAAGCAAAGCAAGGAAAAATGAACCCATGAGGGACATGTGTCTCACAGCTCAGACATAAATGGTGGCAGAGGGAGAGGCTGAAGCTAATTCAGGGCCAGTGTCTTGCCTTCCAGAAACCTGGCTGGGGAGCAGAAGGATGCTGCAGCCAGGGTTCACTGTTGGAAAAAATCTCTCCTCTTTGCTTGGGACTGTCAGTCAACTCTCATTATGGAGGGATTCAGGGACGACCAGTCAGGTGAGGAGAGAGACACATAGGTCACAAAGCCACTGCAACAGAGTGAGATACAGCATTGACTGGGGCAAGGGCAAGACAAGAAGGGAATTGTGAACCTGGGTCAGAGAGAGATTTAGGGTGGGTTTTGAAGGGTGTGTAGGAGTTGTCAAACCAAACAAGGAGCCACAGGAGGCCCAGGTTGTGGCAGGAATGGCAAACTCCATTGCCATCAGAGGTCGACAAGGTAAAAGAGGGAAGGGGTGTAAGATGCGGAAAGTGGAGGGGAGTAGAGTGGCCCAGAGGATGCATGCTCCACCTAAAGATATTCAAATCCATTATTTTGGTGTCCTGGGGGCTAAGGCTGCAGGTGTGTAGCTGGTCAGCTGAGACAATAGTAACTGACAAGAAAGAAGCAAGTGGAGGGGAGTGTGGAGAAGCTGGCCATGCCAAGGAAGAAGATGGAGAGGAAGGACGCGGGCAGAGGAGAGCCAATCCTTAAAATGTAGTACCGCATCCCTAAGGAATTTAGACTTTATCCTGAAAGCAATGGGCAACCATCGAAGATTTCTATTTTTCAAGTAGGTGAATTAAAGGATAAATTTGTGTTTTGGAAGGAGTTCTATGGCAGCAAAGTGGCAGCAAAGCCCTGTGTCAGAACAGAAGTGGGGCCAGCTCTGAGGGATGATGGGGATGGAAGCAGTAGTACCTGGGGGCCAGTGACACGTGGGGAGTGAAGATTCCCTTCATGCTCCATGGAGCACCCTAGACACGAAGACTCACGAAATGCAGCCTGATGCAGTAGCGAGAGCCCAAACCTTGCTGTCCCGTTCAAGTCTCAGGTCCCCCTCTTAGTAGCTGTGTGGCCCCAGGCATTTGGTTTAATCTCTCTGGGCCTCTATTTTCTGGAATACAGAGTAAGGATCACCAAGGGTAGTGTACGAGATCCTATGAGGAAGTGATATATAGAAACAGTGGCAGCACAGAAGGATGATTAGGAGTGTGATTTCTTTTTGGATGGTGTATCCTTTCCCATCACGAGGATGTGTCTTTCTCTCTGCTTTCATTGGCTCTACTGCTGGCCATTGTGTGACTCTCAGAAAGTTTCAGTTTCCTCATTGGTAAATGGGGATAATAGTAGCGCCTACCTCAGGGGGCTTTAGAGAGGACGAAATGGTACCATCCGGACAGTTTGGCGCACAGTGACAGCTCAGCGAATATCAATGATCTCATTGGATATGGTCATTTATAACATGGAAACTACAAGATCCATCCGGCTCTCACCCATCCCTGCCTGCTGTCTGAAATGGGATTCCCAGATCTCCAGATCTCTCAGCACCTCCCCGCTTCTCCTCTCTCTCCCCTATCCAACAAAGACAAAAGAGAAAAGTGGTGTTGGCAGATGAGGAAGTTCAGAGAGGAAAAAGCTTGGGGTGGCTCTTGGGGCGAGCTGATTGGGCAACTGTGATTTCCTGGGCAGCCTAGAGGACCTAGAAAATTGTGGGAATGGAAGTTCAGGGTTTGGGGGTGGGGGAGAGCCAGCCAACAATTCTCTTCTCCTAGATGAGGAGTCTCTCATGCTGGGGGCTCAGGTTGGAGTCATAGGGAATTTTCATGATGATCATGACTGAAAACTCAAGAACTCAGAAAACACCCAACATCTAGGTCAACCACTCCTTTGCCCCAGAGATTCCCAACTTCACTGGTCTCACCCAAGCTGCTGCCCAAGACCAGTTGCTTTATGACTTTGTAACAGACAGGAATGATCTGACTCATGGCCACTGACCAGGCTCCCTTTTGCCACATGCCAGATTTCCCCTAAGTTTCCCTGTGATCTTTCTTGAAAACCATCTGTTCTGGACCTACAAGCCCCCTGCTCATCCACCACCTCCCACACACCTGGAATTGGAATCACCACCACACATGCCAGCACTCCCCCAGTTCCCCTCCCCTGGGGAGCAGCAGGAGTGGGACAGCACCAAGGAGAAGGGGTCATCAACACAGATCTCACCCATTGTGACTTATCAAAACTTTGAGGTTTCTCATTTCTCCCTGACAGTCAGAGCGGGCTTTCTCTAGAGTAACCGAAAGACATTTACGTGTTTAAAGAAACCTCGAGACTCAACCTCTAGATGAGTCAGTGGAGGGCGGGTGGAGCACTGAACCCTGAAGAGTGTGGTTGGTCGTAAACATGTGGACTGAGACTCAGGAGCTCAGGGGCAACTCAGCAAGAAAGGGGAGTTAGGGGTGCAGCGGGGAGCTCTGTTGCAACAGGATCCAATCCCAGCAGGACGGCAAGTGCCCAGCACAGGCTGGGAACAAGGGGACAGCGGCTGCATGTCCCCAGAACAGAAAATGCAGCTAGGAAGCCTGCTTTGAGCAGACAGTGGAGGACTCAACTGCCAGGCCAAGCATCAGGGGCTTCATCCACAGAGCTGGTGGATGAAGGTGAGGTGGGGATTGGCATCAGAGCTAAACTTTAGGAGGATGTGTCTAGCAGTAGCGTGCAGGATAATTTGCTAAAGGAGGGAGAAATACCTATTTATTTATGCAGTCTGATGCAGTCTCTCCTTCCTGGAAGAACTCCCAAGCCCACAATCCCCGGCTTTACACATTTTCCTGGGAACACATTCACTAACTGCAACCTGGATGCCATGCAGCAAGGCCTCCAGCAGGTGGTGCTGTAGCCAAAGACACAGAAGCACTGGGCTCGCACTGCTTCCCCAGCCTCCGTAGGGCCCCCGGCCTCCAGAAAATGCCTTCAACGGGTTCCCACGCATTCCCTGACCCTCTTGAGCTTTGAGCTGCCACGGGCCTACCTTCACTTGTAACTTGTGGCATCGAATTTACTGACTCTCCAGTGGGCCAGGCCCTAGCTGGAACCCGAGGGTCAGGCTACAGAAAGAGGGCTACCTCCACCCTGACTTGTAGGTAAGCTAAGACATCTATGCAGATTACTCCATCGTATGTCCTCCCTGCTCAGCCTCAGGAAGAAATAAGGTCCTGCTGGGCCCGAGGCTCAGACACAAAACCAAACTGAGCACTTCCAGGCCTTGTGCTAGGCCGAGGTCTCCATCTGCTGCTCAGACCCCAGGATGCCTCCTGACTCCCAGAACACATCCCCTTCCAAAGCTGACCCCATTCCCCCTTCCACCTGCCCCCCAAGCCTAGGCTAGAAAACAAGTTAAAGGAGAAAAAGTGAGTGTGGGCAGGCACTTCAGTGGGCAGACATCAGGGAAGAGCCTCCGTCCCCCACACTGCCACAGGGCAGCTCCCCTGTGTCCTCTCAGGCCACCTTGATGCCCTCTCCCTTGGAAAAAGGACATGCATTCGTCTACTTGTCATTCATGTCTTTATCCGTCTGATATTCATCAGCACGCAATTTGGGGGCATCTCCTCGATTCTAGGCCTGCACAAGATCAAAGGGAAGGGATCTCTGCCCCAAAGGCAGGCCAGGGGTGTGGGCCCAGTGGTCGACAGTCAGTGCTGAATGATGGTCATTTCAGTGAGGGGGTGCTGTGGAGCTGGTGGGGCCCTGAGGCAGTCTCCACCTATGTGGACCAGTCAGGAACCTCATCCCTCCACCCAGCCTGTGGGGTCAGCCCCTTTCCGCAGCCTGCCTCCCTGGCCTGGCCTCACGGGCATGGGGCTGCCCACTCACCTGGGTGCTGGGAAAATGCTCCTGGGCCAGTGGCCACCAGCACCAAAGCAGGGCAGGAAACGTGTGCACCTACCCCACAACCTCACAGCCTTGCTTCCTTGTCCCACATCACGTGGAGTGGGAGGGGGTGCTCAGACCCGCCAGCCAAGTGGTCTTGAGGGGTGGTCTGAGCTAGAGAAGACTTCTGGGCTAGCCGGGCAACAGGCACAGTGGTGCTGCCTGTACTACTCAGGAGGCTCAGGCTGGAGGAGCTCTTGAACCCAGGAGTTCTGGGCTGTCGTGCACTATGCTAGTCAGTGTCTGCACTAAGTTCAGTATCAATATGGTGACCTCCCAGGAAGAGGGGACCACCAGGTTGCCTAAGGAGGGGTGAAAGAACCAGCCGAGGTCGGAAATGGAGCAGGTCAAAACTCCCGTGCTGATCAGTAGTGGGATTGCACCTATGAATAGCCACTGTACTCCAGCCTGGGCAACATAGCAAGACCCCATCTCTTAAAAAAATATATTAAAAAAAAAAGAAAGAAGACTTCCAGGCTCTAAGAAGCAGCCCAGATGGGCCAATACAGGGGATGGGAGGGGCTGCCCTGCATTCTGATTCGGCTTCTTTCCAGGACCTAGGAGTGGAGGAGGACGAGAAGGAGGTGAGGACAGTGATGCCGGGCAGCAGGCCAGGTGTTCAAAGGCACAATCTGGTTCTGATGTTCTCTTTCAGCAAATACAGTGCGTGGAGCTGGGGAGGAGAGTTCCCAACAGTGTCTCCCCTCCACCGCTCTCTCTAATAACAAAGACATGTCCCTGCCAGGCAATAACTTTCTTGCCTTGTCTCCTACAGGGAAACCAATGAAAAGGGTACTGGTGGTGGCTCTCCTTGTCATTTTCCAGGTGAGTTTCCCTGCCAACGAAAGCTCTGTTCCCTTTTCCACACGGCCTCCCAAGCCAGGGGTCTGGTAGAGGAGCTGGGCATTTGCTAGAAGAGACAAGACCCAGACCCAAGTCCACCTGCCATTCATTAAGCTAATGGCTGCCCCCTCGCCATCTGCCCAGTGACCCTGGAGACCCACAGATGTTCTCTGTACTTCCTTTACTCCATTTAGATTAAAACAAGGGGGAAATAATTTACCACCTTCCCCCTCCCACCTCCAATCTCCCTGCTCAGGAGATAGCAACATGAACTCTGCGTTCTTAGAGAAGAGCTGCAAAAAGCAAACGAGGGCATGGGGTTTGTGTGTGTGTGCACGTGCCCACGCGTAAAACTCCATGTGTGAACTGAGAAAATCACCCTGGATCTGGCGATCTTGTTACTCTCCTATCATCCCAAAGTTGTCTCTTTCCAACCTTCAGCTAAACAGAGACCCATCCGGCCTCTGGCGGGGAGGGAAGAGAGGATGGGGCCCAAGGGAAGGCAGGAGGGATAGAGGAGCTCATATTTTATAGCAGGACCGAACTCGGCAGGAACAAAGAGCCTCACTTTACAAAGTTCTGTTTCTCAATCCAGAAACAAGCAGAAAGTGTGCCTCACCAAGTGCCAAAGTTAGAAGAAACTGTAACTCGCAAAGTCAACTTTCCCTGATTTGATTGTTAGAGGTGGGAGCTCAGAGTGGGGATGGGGGAGTCCAGCTGAGGCCAGAGCTGGAGAGGCAGTGCTACAGAATTCGGCTCGTCCCCAGGTCTGGAGGCCAGAGAGGCAGCTTTCCAGAAACTCAGGCCAGAGGCAGGCCCCAGGCTGGGCACTGTTCCCAAAAACCCCATCCCAGAGGCCCTCGGAGCTTGGGCTGCAGCCCACAGCCTGGCCCCCGTCCCCATCACCACTTCCCCCTCTCTCCAGGACTCTGGGGGCTGTATTGCTGGCAGCGGAGGCTGGAAGGTTGGGGAGGGGATGAGGACAGCTGAGACTCATTCTTTCCTTTCACTTGGGGAGGGGGTGCTCAGATGGGGCAGGATGTGGTGGGGCTGTGAGCTGCAGAGGCAGTGAGGCTGGGGGAGGGGGATTATAAAACAGGAACAAGGTTCGAGGGGAGAAGGGAAAGCAGGACTGGATGACAGGGCGTGCACTTCATAGTGGCCGGGAGTGCTGCCCTCCAAGAAGGCCCAGACCCCCCTTGTCCAGGGCCCCTGGTCTAAGGCCTTGGGCCATGACCATGGCTGAAGGGGTCTTCAGAGTCCCCAGGCTGCAGCCACGCCCAGGATAGGGAGGAGGGGCTGCCGCTGACTTTTCATCTCAGGCTAGCCGTGGCCAAAGGAAAGGCTCCTGGACATCACTTTGTCCTCACCCTGTTCCCGAGCACGGCAGTGATGAATCCAGAACTTGGATGTGAAAAAGAGATAGAGACAAGATGCCGTGAATCCCTCCAGCACAAACGTGTAGAAACCCATCATTGTTGAGCTGCTGAATCTGGTTCCTGGAGGTAGAACCATGAGCCTTGCGAGGCAGGTCCTCCAGCCCAGCTCCCTGCCCTGCATGAGCCTGTATATTGCTGTGCACAGAGGCGCGGACAGGCATGGACCCGCTCTTTCATTGATAAAATCACAGCAGGCTGCTGAACCTTCACCAGGCCTTGCCGACAGGCTAAAAAAAGCCCCAGCAGCTGAGCCCTGCTGATTTGGATCTGCCGGAAGAGAGAGGCAGAGAGGTGGGGGGGAGGGAGAGAGGCAGAGAGGTTGGGGAAGAGGGTGGGAGCGCAGAGGGAGAGTGGGAGAGGAGAGCTGCGCTTCCTTTCAGGGACACAGCTGCTGAGCAGGCCTCACCCCCACCCCCATGGCCCATCATCCATTCACAGGGTTTCTGGCACTTGGGCTCAAGTTGCCTGAGCTCCTGCTGGGTGCTAAGAGCGCACCCAGGATCGAGAGTTCTCTCCATGTCACCCACCACCCATGATCACAGCAGTTCACCCCAAACCCAAGGCTTGATGGCCTCAAAATGGGAGCATTTGCCATCCTCTCCTCCGACTCCAGGCCCTCCTCAGCCTTGACTCCCACCCCCTGTCATTTTCCCCCTAAAGCTGAGATCTTTTGTAAGCCCCCTGGAAAACTCCACCAAGTTCTAAAGGAAGGTCAAGAAGGAAGACACATGTTCCCACTCTCACGGAGCTTCCAGAGGGCAAAATTAAAGCTCCATGGAGAGGAAAACAGTGCTGGAGCCTGGGCTAGGTACCTCACAGCAACCATGTGAAGCAGATAGGATTCATCTCCATTTCACAGAAGAGAAAACTGAGGCTCGGAGAGAAAGGGGGCGAGAGGGTTTGACCAGCTCAAGACTCATCTGGCCCCAGAGCCAGGCCAATTTCCAGTCCCCCGTCAGCACAAGGAGAGCCTCCAAGACTTTGCAAAATCAGCCACTTGCTACTTCATAGCAGAACTGTAGAATCTCAGGCCCCACTTCAGCCCCTGATTCAGGATAGACATGTTCACAAGATTAACCAGCTGATTCGTATTGGAGTTAACATTTGAGAAGCACTGATTTCGAACCAAAGAATCACCTGGAGACTTTAGGAAAACACAGATTCCTAGGCCCCTCACCTGAGATTCTGGCTCAGAATTCTCAAGTGAGGCCTGAGTTTGCATTCCTAACAAGTTTCCAGGCGATGCTATGATGCTGATGATGCAGACCCTGTGATGAAACCACCGTCCTTCCCACCTGGGCAACATGGCAAAATCCCATCTCTACTAAAAATACGGAAATTAAGGCCGTAGTCCCAGCTACGCAGGAGGCTGAAGTGGGAGGATCACCTGAGCCTGGAGATGCCAAGGCTGCAGGGAGCCCTGATTGTATCACTGCACTCCAGCCTGGACAACAGAGTGAGACCATGTCAGAAAGAAAGAGAGAGAGAGGAAGGCAGGCAGGCAGGCAGGCAGAAGGGAAGGAAGGAAGGGAGGGAGGAAGGAAGGGAGGAAGGAAGGGAGGAAGGAAGGAAGGAAGGGAGGGAGGGAGGAAGAGAGAGAGAGAGGAAGAGAAGCACGCTCCAGGCTAAATTCCAGCCACAGTCAGAGCCACCCAGCTAAACTGGCCTGTTTTCCCTTGTCTCCTTCCCGAAGGTTTGCATGTGTCAAGATGAGGTCACGGACGATTACATCGGAGACAACACCACAGTGGACTATACTTTGTTTGAGACTTTGTGTTCCAAGAGGGATGTGCGGAACTTCAAAGCCTGGTTCCTCCCTGTCATGTACTCCTTCATTTGTTTCGTGGGCCTACTGGGCAACGGGCTGGTCGTGTTGACCTATATCTATTTCAAGAGGCTCAAGACCATGACCGATACCTACCTGCTCAACCTGGCAGTGGCAGACATCCTTTTCCTCCTGACCCTTCCCTTCTGGGCCTACAGCGCAGCCAAGTCCTGGGCCTTCGGTGTCCACTTGTGCAAGCTCATCTTCGGCATCTACAAGATGAGCTTCTTCAGCGGCATGCTCCTACTTCTTTGCATCAGCATTGACCGCTATGTGGCCATCGTCCAGGCCGTCTCAGCTCACCGCCACCGTGCCCGCGTCCTCCTCATCAGCAAGCTGTCCTGTGTGGGCATCTGGGTCCTGGCCACAGTGCTCTCCATCCCAGAGGTCCTGTACAGTGGCCTCCAGAAGAGCAGCAGTGAGCAAGCGATGCGATGCTCTCTCATCACGGAGCACGTGGAGGCCTTTATCACCATCCAGGTGGCCCAGATGGTGATTGGCTTTCTGGTCCCCCTACTGGCCATGAGCTTCTGTTACCTCGTCATCATCCGCACCCTGCTCCAGGCGCGCAACTTCGAGCGCAACAAGGCCATCAAGGTGATCATCGCTGTGGTGGTGGTCTTCATCATCTTCCAGCTGCCCTACAACGGGGTGGTCCTGGCCCAGACGGTGGCCAACTTCAACATCACCAGCAGTAGCTGTGAGCTCAGCAAGCAGCTCAACATCGCCTACGACATCACCTACAGCCTGGCGTGCGTCCGCTGCTGCGTCAACCCCTTCCTGTATGCCTTCATCGGCGTCAAGTTCCGCAATGACCTCTTCAAGCTCTTCAAGGACTTGGGCTGCCTCAGCCAGGAGCGGCTGCGGCAGTGGTCTTCCTGTCGGCACGCCCGGCGTTCCTCCATGAGCGTGGAGGCCGAGACCACCACCACCTTCTCCCCATAGGTGGCTCTTCCGCCTGGACTAGAGGGAGCTCTCCCAGGGCCCCTGGGGTGGGGGCAGGGAGCAGAGGCATTGACTCAGGACATGACCCAGCCAAAAGCTGCTCAGGGAAAAGCAGCTCTCCTCCCAGAGTGCAAGCCCATGCTCCAGAAGGTAGCTTCATCCCAGCTACCTCAACCAACGCTGAAAAGAGACAGGGCTGATAAGCTAACACCAGCTGGGCAACACTGGGAGACAGAAGCTACTGTTCCCCCCAACCAAAGACTGAAAGTCCAGAAACGGTTCCCACCTACTGGAGTGAAGGGGTCGAGGAGGATGAGTGCGAGGAGTGTGGGAGTGGCCTGGTGAGTCCTCTGAATGAAACTTCCTCCGGCCTCCCGGAGGCTCAAAGGCTCAGGCCCCACTTCCGAAAGCCAGGCTTTGTCTCCCAGACCAGAGATGGTGGGGAGACCTCTTGGATTGGTGAGGAAAAGCAGACATGAACCCGTCAAATGAGCTCTCTGCACCCCTCCCTCTGTGGTTTGCTCCACTGTCCTCCAAGCCAGCAGCAATGGCAGCGGCCATGGCGCCCTGCACGCACACTCAAGCCCTCCCAGGCTCCTGACCGGAGAGTATGGTGCTTCCCACAGACCAGGCCAGCTGCTCCACCTGACCAAAGCCACACTCGGCTCCAGAGTGGGGACGGCATGCGCTCAGGTTGTGGCTCCACTGGGGTGGGAGGAGAGGACAGGGAAAATGGCAGGGCCCGGGAGGGCAACAGTGGCTGCCAAGGCCCACAAGCTTCTTCATTGTTCCTTGTCACAGGGACCGAAAACCTCTCCTGGTGTTCTGCTTTCAATTCCTTAAGAGAGCAATATGTTACTCACACAAATAAAGTTTTCCCTTGAGGAAACAACAGCTTTAAAGAAAAGGAAAAGAAAAGTCTTTGGTAAATGGCAAATGAGTGTGTCCTTGTTTTGCAACCCCCATGCCCCACCTGCCCATCCCCTCTCCCCTCCTCCCTACCCTCCCCCAGGCCTCATTTCTTAGAGATGCTCAGAACCACCCGTTGCTGACACAGGATGAAGAGGCTGAAAGGCAGGAGGAGGATAAGGACAGGAGGTCCATCTTGCAAATACTCTTTCAGAGTTCACGGGATAGGCCCCACGCCTGCAGCCAGCACTGAACCGGACATGCTGATCTGACTGCAGCTTTGGGAAGGCCAAGTTGTCCGGGTAACCTCGAAGCCTGGAGATGCTGCAGTTATCGGCTCCTGCACAGTGGCCTGCTCACCTGTCCCAGCTCAGCCCAGAACTAGAGCCCCTGACCTTTTGTCAGCCCTTTGACTCTGAAACCTGGGGTTTAGAGGGAGGGCCTTTCTGTGGGCTCAGAGTGAAATGTTGATCACCATCTGCGGGAGTCTGACCTGCAGACCCTGACTAAACGCAGATGAATGAATGCACTGACTCAGCAACCAGATGAATGAATGCACTGACTCAGCAACCAGATGAATGAATGCACTGACTCAGCAATCAGATGAATGAATGCACGGACTCAGCAATCAGATGAATGAATGCACTCTCACACCATTACAGTGTTTCCAGTGGGCTAGCGATGGCCTTGGCTGCTTTCAAAGGGCAAAATGCAACTAGTCAACCCAAACCCTCTGTCTTTTCACACTTTTATTCATAACAGAGGCTCTAAGTCAACACACTTGTGGATAATTAACATGGTTAATTCGTGGTTACACGAATGATAAAAGCTTTAGGTTCCAGGCCCTGAGAAAACACTATTAACAGGTAATTCCCCTTTGATCTCCCACTGAAAGAACCATCCAGAACAAAGTTTACATGAAGAAACTGTTAGATGTGGGGTAAACAGACTTAACTGGGAGGCTTTTGATCGTCTCTGTGTTCTCCCTAACTTAATGGACTGGCCGGCTGCATTCAGTCTGCCCCAGTAAAACCTTTTGGCCTTCCCTCCAAAAGGTTTGAGACTATCATCTATAACTTTCCATAGATATTTTCTGTAATCTTTTGCTATCCGCCCCAAGTGAATCTCAACATCAGAGTTGGCAGCATGCTGGACCCAGGGTCAAGGACAGGACTCTTTGCTGGCTGCATGAGGGCTGGGACCACCCATCACTCTCTCTGCTGGCATATGTCACAGTCCCTTCCTGTGCTACAACAAAATGCCACCGATAGAGTAATTTATAAACCATAGAAATGTATTTCTCACAGTTTTAGGGGATGGGAAGTCCAAGATCAAGACACCGACAGATCCAGTGTCTGGTACAGGCTCTCTCTGCTTCTGAGAGAGGGCCTCTTTGCTGTGCCCTCTGGATGGAGGGGTCAAACATTGTGTCCGCACATCGTGGAAGAGGGGAAGATCACAGTGAGCCAAACTAGTTCCCTCCTGCTCCTTTATTCGTATAAGGGCATTAAACCCATTCACAAGGATGAAGCCCTCACGACCTTATCACCTCCCAAAGCACCCCCCAACCACTTTTCGTACCATTGCCTTGGGGTTTATGTTTCAACATATGAATGTTGGAGAGACACATACATTCAAACCATAGTGTGGATACCAACTGTGGAGGAGCAGAGAGATAGGAGCAGACACAAGCCCCCACACAAGCCAGGTATCCATGTCACTTCATGCCCTGGTGCCCACCCACAGCCGTGACTTCTGCAAGCCAGAGAGCAGGTCAGTCCAACCTGCAATGCACCGAGAGGTGTGTGAAGGACCCAGAGCTGCGATAGCTCTGGGCTGGGGAAAATTAGAGGGAGGGCTGAGACACTCACGAAATAGGTGATTCCATCAATTTCCCCAAGGGGAAAGAGCCTCGTTCAAAATGGAGCTGCCTGGTAATGACACCCATTCTCTAATCTTGCACGCACGTGACATTACCGTCCGCTGAGAGATGCAGTGGGCTGGAAGGTTTTTAACAAGATTTGTCAGCTGGTCTCCAAGCCGGGAATCGGCGCCCTGAGAGAAATGAGCTTGGCACGGATGCAGTCAGTGTGGAGTGGCGTTCGCAGCAACGGCATTAAATATTCAAAGGCGCAGCTGCGACTCTGTGCGTGAGCGTGTGGCCAGGGGGCAATGCCAGTGTGCACGTGTGTCCCCAAGGGGAACCTGCCGGAGCGTGTGTGCGTGTAGAGGAGCCTGAGCGTGTGGCCATCCTAATGAGCTTACAGATGGGAAAACAACTCTCCGTTCCTGAAGGGGAAGAATGTAACAGCAGTCATGGAAAAGGCAGCCGGGCCAACCACACAAACATGCCACCTCGACTTCAGATACATTTTTCTAGAATAACTGGACATTTCAATATTTACAGAGAAAACAAACCCCCCAGCAATGTTAATTCCCTTGAACTGCTGTGTCTCAGAAGTTCTGACCTCGGCTCCATGCTGGCCTGACCCCTGCTCCCTTGCACATGGCTCTCATGCACCCATCCTGAGCTTGGGGTGGCCCCTGGGAAGCCTGCCTAGGAGGCCTGCCCAGGGCTTCTCTTTCCTTTTCTTACCTGCTTCATACATCTGCCCCCTCTTCCTGGGTTCATAGCCATGAACCTTCTCCAGTCACCTGAAGTTCCCTGTTCATTTCATCCCCACGCCTTGTCTCCCTCAGCCTTCCTGGCTGCAACCCCAGGCCAGGCTCAAGGTGCTCCCAGGCCTCAGATCTGCCCTTTCAGCTAGAAGTACCACACCTCTCACATCACACACTCGCAGTGCTCCAAGGAACCTCAAAGATCAGCTGGCCCAATCCCCCAGTCATTTTCTAGCTGGTGAAACTGAGGCCCAGGGAGAGGAGCTCACTTGCTTGAAGAGACATTGCAATGTAGGGGTATTGGTTAAACTTGCTCTAGGATCTTGAGCGTCTGGCAGGATTGCAGGAGGGTGTGAGGGAGAGCAGAGCCTCTGGAGCTCTGCCGACTTTGAATCTCATCTCTACTGCTTCCCAGCTGTGTGACCTTCAGCTGTTGCTCAACTGCTCTGAGTATCGAATTTCTCAACTGCAAAATGGAGAGGATTTGTGTAAACACTTAGCACAGTGCCTGGAATGTGGAATGTGGTGGTGAGGAACAGGGACTTTGTGGCCAGACTGCCTGGTTTGAACCCCAGCTCCACTACCTGGGCTGATGACTTGGCCTCTCCGCACCTCGGTTTCTTAATCTGTGTAATGGGGATATTAACGGTACCTATCTCCTAGGATTGTTGTGGAAGGCGACTAATCCATATATATAAAATGCTTAGAAAAACTTACATGTGTGCTGTTGGTAATCTTTGGGAGATGTTTAAGAAATAGTAACTTTTAAAAAAAAGTTGCTAAGCACAAGGAAACCAAGTTCAGTTCCTTAGCCCCATTTCCATCCCCACAGAATGTATAACTCAAGCTGGAAGGCAATTTACAGATGGGTGAATCTGGCCTTTCCATTCATCGTGTGGTGAGTCAACTGGGGCTCGGGGAAGGAAGGAACTCGCCGGAAGTCTCTTGGGAGCTCTTTGCAATGCTGGAACCTGAACCTGGTTCCCTGGGCTCCCAACCAGACCTCTTCCCATCAGACCCTGCTAGGCTTACATGCACCTCCCTGCACATCCACCGTGGCACCCCCAGCCTCATCCCACGCTGTCTAGTTCTTCTCCGGCAGGCACCGTCCATCCTGCCCTCTGATCGGGTCCTTAAAGAACCTCCTGACGGGGCGATGGATGCAGTAAACCACCACCATGTAACAAACCTGCACAATCTGCAGAAAAAAGAGAACCTCCCTTCTCCCCTTTAACTAGTTCCTGTCCTTATCATTGAGTCTGGGAGAATTAGTGAAATACAAAAGAAATAAGGCAGTGGGCCAAAGGAAATTAGGCAACTGATCTTTTTAAGATTTTTTAAGGAAGGAAGATGGGCCGTCTTCTCTGGGAATGGTTCTCAGTTGCATGTCTGTGTTCAGGGTGAACAGCTGGGGGAGAAGAAACACACCTCAAGGGGTCGGCAGGGGGAATTAAGGCAAACAAGATCGGGGAAAGGCAGGGGGAGGTTGGGGAGGAATGAGTTTTAGGGACTATACACTGGGGGCGGGACTTGAATAGTATCTTCAGTGGGTAGTTAGATGCCCCTCCTGCATGCACACACATGCACGCACACACACACACACACACACACACAGAGCCTCCCCAGGTATCCCAATCTCAGATGAGGAGAAGGGGGCTATATTAGCCTTAGAGACAGGTGGACTCATGGCCTTCTTTGCAGAGAAGATAGTTAGAACTGACCATGTTTCTCTGGTCTGAGACCCCAGAGAAACTCTAGGGAGAATAAAAAAGATGTGGGGTGGGGGGGCCCTCCGCTGCAACTCAAAAGAGCAACCCTGTCAGGCTTCAGAAAAGCCAGACCTCCTGGCCCTCCCAACCCACGGGAGCAGCTGTCTGAGCAGAACCAGCTCCTCAAGCAGCCAGCCTCACTGTCCCTGTACTTCTCTTGGGCCCAGGCAGAAACACAGACAGAGGTCTATGTGCAGAAAAGACTCCCCAGGCCTTTTTCTAGGGAGAGCTGCTCCAGACTAAGCGAATCTCAGCTGATCTTGTGTGAAATCAGAAAGGCCAGGATGTGTATTCCTCACGGGCTCCTCTCTGTGTCTGTGCGTGACCCAATTCAGATTTCTCTGCCGCTGTCAGATTCTCTCCTGCCCACATTCACTTTGAGGATGGATATAACCTTATTTTTATTTATTGTTCACTAACCCCAGGGAATTCACTGGCTGGACTATCCTACATGTCACGGTAACCACCACACAGTGTGGCCTCCAGGTTCTCATCTCTGGGTAAATAAACATCTCCCCACAGGCTTGGCCATGTCTGGACTGGCTCTGTTCCTGCACGATACAATAGGTCCCGAGGTCAGCTATCCGCGCCACTAGCAAGAGGGCAGGTGAGGAGACCGTTCTTGCCCTGGAGTCCTCTT